TAAAAAAGTGAAAAACATTTCGGAAATGGAGTAGAATAGTTTCGTTTGTTTCACTGTCGATAAAGAAAACGGTAGAGAGCCGGCGAAACAACAGCGGAAAGGGAAAAACAGAACGAGACGTAAGCTTTTGTTGTGCTTTTTGTCGGAGCTACTTCGAGCTCGATAAGCTTATATTGAAACCGGCCATTTTACTTAAATTCACTCATTTTCAATCGTGCATTGAGAACAAACAGTTGAGATTATTTATAGTTCTTGGATTACTTCATATCCTTACCGTTATTTATGTTTTTAACAAACGTATTTACTAAAAAGATGATACTTCGTTTTCGTTGTCATTTTGCGGTAAGTGTGTAGCGGCAAATTTTAGCATTTTGAAAGATTTAAAATAAAAAGCCCGCCAAAATGATGAATGTCTCAGTATGTATATAATAAACACAATACCACATGGAAAGTGCTAGTACGGTATTTACGCACTCGTTGTTTTTGTATCAGAAATCTTACTCGTTCGCTGCGCTCACTCGTTCGATTTCTGATACGTCGACAACTCGTGCGTAAATACCGTACGCCAGCACCTTCCATGAAGTATTCTCTATATATACATTATCGAATAATTTTTTTAAATTTATTAGTTTAGTTCGTCACATGTGAAGATCGACGTTTGGCCCGGAGACGATCTTCGGACGCTCTGTCCGTTTACACGTGTTGGACGATCCAAACTCATTCGGACGAACTTAACTGAGCCAGGCGTCGCTAAGAACGTTTCATGAACTTAAATCACCAAGTTTGGTTTGTCTCCTGAAAAGTTCGACGTTTGGCCTAGCCTTTGTCACGCACAATTTACTTCACACAAAATGTTTTGTGTATTGCAGATGTATGTAAACCGGGCTGGTCATATTTTAATGGTATTTGCTACTCGACAAGCCATTCGTGCAAAAATTGGACCGAAGCTGAGAAAACCTGCCAAGCATACAGCGGCAACCTCATCACTGTGCGGAATCAAGAAGAAAACGTTTCAGCGCAGATAAATTCCAGCCACCAATGATATGACCATGCATTGATAAAAATGGATGGTGTTTCAAAGTTTATATCAACAGCCTTCTTTTTATGTCCTTAGGACGTCCCATTTGCAAAGAATTACGACAACGAACCCATAGTATTAATAGCAGCCGGTCACAACTCAGAAGGCAACAATTTGAAGCCAATATACATGTCCGTGACCCCATGGATTGAGGTATTCACAAATTATTTAACTAATATACAACATACTTTAATCAAAACAAGTAACATCAAGCTGACAACCCTGTAGCAAATGCGCATATGAGCTAAATTACATCAAGGTCTGTTCATGCAGTCTGCCGTTTATCAGTAATAGTCGCACAGCGAAACATTCCATCTATTTGTGCATCTGTTATTCAAGGTCAGTTTCCCAATTTTTTTTTTTTTGTTTAGATAGGAAGGTGACTCAGCTACAGGCGTTTAAGCGAACGTCTCTGAAAGTTGAGCTATTACTGTTCTTGTAAGTAGAATATATGATGCTGGATGATTTGCTGATTATTTTACAGCACATCAAGACTAGCGAATTCCGCATTTGTCTCAAGGAGTTGTTCGCTGACCAGCATGATCCTGTGAATGTGTCCTATACAGTACTAGCAGGTGTGTTAGTAAATGATAAAAACAAATTGTCTTTGCGAAGACCTTCTCATGCCCAGCAAGCTTTGGTAGATGTCAAGTAAACTTAGAGACTCCTTGTTTCATATCTCCTTTAAGTAATCACCAGTAAAAGTATTTTCTTAGTTCCTACTTACCACAAGTAACGGTTTCTATTTCCAAAAACTTCTCGGTCAGCTCGAACTTTTCACGGAACGAACCAAACTCTAATTTGAGTCGACCTAACTTGAGTTAAGATCGGCTGCTGGGTCAGAGGTCGATCTTTATAGGAGGCGTCGAACCAATCAACTGAATCAGATCAGTAATAAAATTGTTTTCTCCCGAACGATTCTTTATTATATACATACTGAGAAATACTCACCAAAAAGCTATGTCGTAAATTTTCGTACGCAAATTAGTTCTAGCCAATCAGAGGAGCGAACGATAGTTTTCACACGTGAAAAAAAATGATACGTCCAATCAGAATCGCGAACGATGTTTTTTCACGTGTGAGAAAAATGATACGTCCAATCAGAAGCCACAGAGGTGTGTGAGTTTCGCGCCAAAATTCCCGCCTTTTATTGCAGCTTGCAGCGCCGCTTCGCACACATTCAAAGAGAAAAGTTTTACTAAAAGAGTTTTTCTCGCTAAAAAAGTGAAAAACATTTCGGAAATGGAGAGTGGAATAGTTTCGTTTGTTTCACTGTCGATAAAGAAAACGGTAGAGAGCCGGCGAAACAACAGCGGAAAGGGAAAAACAGAACGAGAAGTAAGCTTTTGTTGTGCTTTTTGTCGGAGCTACTTTGCCTTTCATTTAAGCTTAAGCTTATATTGAAACCGGCCATTTTACTTAAATTCACTCATTTTCAATCGTGCATTGAGAACAAACAGTTGAGATTATTTATAGTTCTTGGATTACTTCATATCCTTACCGTTATTTATGTTTTTAACAAACGTATTTACTAAAAAGATGATACTTCGTTTTCGTTGTCATTTTGCGGTAAGTGTGTAGCGGCAAATTTTAGCATTTTGAAAGATTTAAAATAAAAAGCCCGCCAAAATGATGAATGTCTCAGTATGTATATAATAAACACAATACCACATGGAAAGTGCTAGTACGGTATTTACGCACTCGTTGTTTTTGTATCAGAAATCTTACTCGTTCGCTGCGCTCACTCGTTCGATTTCTGATACGTCGACAACTCGTGCGTAAATACCGTACGCCAGCACCTTCCATGAAGTATTCTCTATATATACATTATCGAATAATTTTTTTAAATTTATTAGTTTAGTTCGTCACATGTGAAGATCGACGTTTGGCCCGGAGACGATCTTCGGACGCTCTGTCCGTTTACACGTGTTGGACGATCCAAACTCATTCGGACGAACTTAACTGAGCCAGGCGTCGCTAAGAACGTTTCATGAACTTAAATCACCAAGTTTGGTTTGTCTCCTGAAAAGTTCGACGTTTGGCCTAGCCTTTGTCACGCACAATTTACTTCACACAAAATGTTTTGTGTATTGCAGATGTATGTAAACCGGGCTGGTCATATTTTAATGGTATTTGCTACTCGACAAGCCATTCGTGCAAAAATTGGACCGAAGCTGAGAAAACCTGCCAAGCATACAGCGGCAACCTCATCACTGTGCGGAATCAAGAAGAAAACGTCTATATTCAGCATCGGCTGAATGGTGCCAAGGGCTGGATTGGGCTAAACGATAGGGTAATTGAGGGTACTTTTGACTGGGCAGATAATCAAACCAGTAACTTTTCATATTGGGCGAAGAACCAACCAAACAACTTCAACAATGAAGATTGCGTTCACACTTTGGGAATCAGGCATAGTTTTATGTGGAACGATGTAAGCTGTGGTACTTGCCATAACTATACCTGTTCAGAAGGTTTGTGGGTGACTTACCTCTTTTATATACCAACAGGCGTTACTATTATTATTATTATTATTATTATTATTATTATTATTATTATTATTATTATTATTATTATTATTATGCAGTTAAAACTTTTGTATGCTATAGCTATATACAGTTAAAATAGTGTGACGGGACGCGTGAGCGTAACCCGTTTACTATAGTGAGAACTTTTTGTAAAAACATGAATTTAAAATTTAAAAATATACATATACAATATAAAAAAATATCACTATAAATAATGTTCCAAAAAAAACAATAAATAAAAAAAATAAAATAAAAAAATGATAAAACTGTTCAAGATATCTAGAATCTAAAATGATGATTATAGTCTTTAAAGTTCTCTTAAATATATTACTTATTCGGCTGTAAATTAATTCATTGACGATTACTTCATACCTGTAAAAGTCCAAAAGATGTTGGAGGAAAAGAGTTAATAATTTCGAAAGCGTTATTCATTGTTCATGTTGCAACCTTGAATGTTCTAAAGATGTTTAGTGTTCCGAGAGTACAGAATTCTGCATGTTATAAAGAACTTCCTCGTACTTCCGACTAACTGCTTCAGCTCGGCACCACCCCCTAACACGTTCATTATGATATTATATTGTTTCACTTCATATCCTTGGTACTTCTGCTTAATGTACTTGTTCTGTGCAAGGGCAGTACAACCAGCCAGGACATGGGCGACACTTTCAGGAGCCTTATTGCATAGCCTGCACGTTACCTCACCCGTCATATCCGTGTGCGTTTTCTGGCAGGCATACAACCTCTTAGGTATTATTATTATTATTATTATTATTATTATTATTATTATTATTATTATTCATTAGTTCCTATTCAAAAGCCATTTCCGATTTGCCCCAAACCTGTTTCAAAAAGAGATTATAAAACTACTTCCTCATGAAAGCGTTTGCTCTTGACCTCATTTTGAAAGTGTGGGTATTTTTAGAAATCGAAAATGGTCTATTTAAGCGTTTCCAGGCGTTAAGAGTTATTTTTATTTATTTTATTTCTATTTTCAGAGAAGATCCTAATTGACTTTCACCAATTTACACCTCAATAACCAATTGGCCATATTTGCACGATGACGTCATTTTACTATTACTACTACCAGAATCCTTCAGGGTATTGCTTTCTTATGCAAATTACGGCTTTTGTTATTTAAACCTCACTGGGATTAGCAAATTTAAATATCAAAGAAAAAACGAAAAGAATTCTGGTCCTAGTAGTGAAAAGGCGTCGTCGTGCAAATGGCCCATTTCTCTGGCTTCTTAGATGACAAAAAGTTTGAGTCTACTGTAAATCTGTTTGTTGCAGAAATAGTATAAATTAAAGGATTAGTCTACAAAGAAAAATAGGCACTACTTGTGCGAAAAAGAAATTAGACGTCAAAAAAAGGATCCATAAGCTGGAGCTTTTAGCACTGCATTCATACACAACAGTTTTCGTGCTGATTGACTCATATGAGCAACGATTTTAAATTTTGATTGACAAACGATCGTTTCGTTATTTGTTTTGCAGGTTGATTGACTGAACGATTGTTTTATATTCCTTTTTAAAATTAGATTTTGATGAATGTGGAGGAAACAATAACCATTGTCATCAGAACGCCATCTGCACAAACACTATTGGCTCCTATAGCTGCCGGTGCTCCGTAGGATATGCCGGTGATGGCTTGCTTTGTAGAGGTATTATGTTCGAAGCCCCAAGTTGCAGTTTTTCGTTTAATTCGTGAAGCATAATTTTGAAAGATCCTCATCCAACGGTAAAGAGACATCTCTTGTGAGTTTAAGGCTAGCTTAGGGCGAATTTCTAAGGTAGAATAAGCATGCTTTTACCGTAAAATTGCCTGAAAATTTAGTTTTCAAATAACTCTTTAGAGGGGTTTAAATACTGTGCAGCGTATAATAGTAGTAAAATAAGCGTTTAAACATAGGCTGGAATAAATTAGGAGGGAGATCTTCTCAGCAACTTTTTTTTTTCCAGTTTCAGAGATGATAAAATTTGGACATTAACATAATCTCTATGAACAACACTGAGCAATGAAGTTTCTTAACTATCCTAATTTTATAGTATATAGGAATGCAGACCATACTATAGTTTTAAATACAGCCCAAAAAAGGAATTAAAGTACGTACGTGGATTTCCCTACAATTCTTGAGACTACGTAGCTTTCCGCTCTGGTTACAAATTTCACAACAAACCGGAGCGGCGACGCTTGTTAGATCTTGTTACGCGGGCTTAAACTTTCGGGGATTCATCATGAGAGGCTTTCTTGTATGCTGATGGGGCTAATATGCTAGAAGCTTCAAAATCGTACGGTACTTTGAATTCCTTGAAACATTCGTAAAGAGTAATTTTTTTCCTTCAGATATCGACGAATGTTCTTCAGGTCACCAGTGTGACAGCAGTGCGACTTGTTATAATACAGATGGATCCTACACTTGCACATGTAACAGCGGCTTCACGGGGGATGGACGAACCTGTCGAGGTACAAGCCTTTGAATAAATACTGAATACTATAAACGACAGCTCTGTAAAGCTTTTCGAAAAATTAGGTTGTCTGGCCATAGGTGACATCATACGTATAGCAAAACTTCTCATTCTACACAAAGTGAGTCAGGATCATCGTCCTGATTATTTCACGTCCTATTTCAAACATGTCCGCTCTTCACATGCTCGTAGTACTAGATCCGCTAACCATAACAACGTTCTGACACCTCTCCGTTAATGAAACGGCTCAGGACTTAGCATAGGAAGATAGCAAGTGCTTGTCGTTTATAGAAAAAGTGAGGTCACTCGTATATAGAGACATAGTTTCCCACGCAATGTTCAGAAAAGCACTGTCTACTGATAAGTTTACCAATTAAGACAACGCCTCGTTAGCACATTTTAAGGTTTGCAGATCTTTTTTTCATAACTAATACCTGTTGTGTGGAGGATGATTATGAAAACTACCCGGTAAACGGTAATGTCTCCACCCTCGTTGTTCTTCTCGTTCTTGTTCTTCCTCTTCTTCTACTGATGTCGTTTAAGAAGAAACAAAAAGCAAACTGCGGTGATAAACATAACGAAATGTAAACGCATTTCTGGGAAGAAAAAAGACTTTAACTTGACGTCTCGTCAAGCGGCGGCCCGTGCCCCCTCCTTATTTAGGTTTATTTTTAGGCTAAACGGACGCCCGAAGGGTTGAATAAAATCAATTTCTCGGCCGGGTCCTCTACTTACTTGCAGATCTGAATTCGCCACTGCTTACATGCATGCACATAATTGAAAGTCATTTCTTCTCAATGGTCTTCTAGTGTTCTTCTTATGTCTTGAAAAGTTCACTCCTATGACTATGACATTCGTTGACAAAAAAGAAGGCCCAGCTTGAAATAAATAAAAGTTTTCTTATCTTCCAGATGTTGATGAATGCTCGCTCAAAACCCATGACTGTCACTCCCATGCAATCTGCACTAACACAGAAGGCTCATTTACTTGCAAGTGCGACGTGAATGCACATTACATTGGTGACGGGAAAACATGCACTCCTCATCGTAAGGCGAATAAAATGTTTTCCTTCATTTTGTTCTACCACTACTCTGACAATTGTTAACTTCTATTTTCTGGGAAAAGGTATACACCAATATTTATGTCGGCAAAGAGCTACCCCTCGCCTGCCTGTCGATCATCTTGATTATGCTCTTGTCCAAGAATATACTCTTAATGAAATTTCAAATGTACCGAAAGCGAGATTTGCTTGTTTATTATTTCGATTGCTTCTGACTTTCTTGGGTACTTTAATTCTGAGTGTATTTTAGGCTAACCCCGCTGATATGTTTAATTAGTAAAGTGGTTCTTTTTTAGGTATAGCAATTACTGGAGTCGTTGTCAGTTTCCGAAATACAGCATCTTTAAAAAGGATGAATTTCCGATTTACTTTCTTCTTACCAGGTGGCCTCGATGACTCCGTTATTTTAGCGAACGATGCCAGCAAGATATCGCAGTTAAATACCTGGCTTCTTCCGCACTTGCAAAGTCAAGACAGAAGTTATTGGAAACTGTGTTATAGGGCCTCCAATCATGGCTGGAGATCACGGACCTTTCACAGCTATTGCGATAACAAAGGTCCCACTGTAACGATTGTTAGAGTCGGGATCTATATTTTTGGAGGCTACAACGACAATTCGTGGCAATGTAAGTGCGTGAAATAGCTAACTAAGATACCTACTAGGAAGGCTTCAACTGGTTGAACTGAATTAAGCCAAGGGGTCGTTGACCCCAGATGTGAAAGAAAGAAGAGATGGAGCCTTAACAGTTTTCGCTAGTAGTTCAAAACAACTCTAGTCTTAAATTGAGTTTTGTTTATCACTCGCAATATTGTGTAGTAATTTTTAAAACGTCGGCGTAAGAGATTAATCAAATACTCACAAGACAAACTTACCTCGGGTCCGTTTTGTCGCACTTTGTAATAATCGTCGCACTTTGTAAAAAAAATTGTCGCATTTTGTAATAAAAATGAGGTCGCACCTTGTAATAACATTTGTCGTACTTTCAATTGCCAACTTGAAATGTGGATCGATGCTCGGAGGAAAAGTAAACCCGATAATAAGTATCATCATCGACAACAACAGTAATGATAATTACTCAACTGAACTGTTTTCAGCTCCAGTTTCTCAAGTGGGCGCGGAGGAAAGTGTTCGCATCAACTGCGGCCTTCCGGCTTCCAGATCTTTGTAGGGAGTGAGTTCAACTCTTTCTAAAATAAGATAAAATAACCAAATGGCAAATTTTGGGTTCATTTTTTAACAGAGATTATTTCTCTCGGAATTTCATTACTTGCTGATTTCTTTGCTTTCTAAGCATCGTTTTAAGCACAGCTCAATTTTTCAATAATGATTACCTCGATTTATTCGGGTTACAAGTAAAATGGAAAACACTTCGTTAATTAATATCCTAAAAATGGCGGATCCAAGATAGCGGATGGTTCAGGATCTTTCTTTAACAATGAATAACGTCGTCATGACATCACCACTATTTTTTTAGATAATTAATGTGTTTGGATTTTAGAGGTTGACAGTTTTTTTTTTATTGAAATGAAATGTTTTTAATTCGAATAAATTTTTCTTAGTTAAATTAACTTTTTTTAAGCTAAATTAAGTGCTTTTTAAATCGACAGGAATTGTAAATAGTGTTTTTGAATGAATAGTTTTTTTCTTTTTTTAAGCGAATTAATTGTAAATAGGATTTTATTTAAAAAAAATTAATGTGTTTGTATTATTATTATTATTATTATTATCATTATTGTTATTATTATTATTACTATTATTATTGTAATTATTACTACTAATTATTGTATTGTTTTATTTGTTTTGTCGATGCTGATACTTGTTATTGTTGGGTTTACTTATCCTCCGACCGTGCATTTTAAGTTTATTACAAAATGCGGCAAGTGTTTTTACAAATTGCAACAGCTTGTGCGATAAGTGGTATTACAATGTGCGACAATTTTATTATTAAAAAAGGTGCGACTGAACACGGGTCACAACGTTGTTGTAACATAAATTGCATTTTAAACATTTGCCTTCAGTATTATTCGTCTGAAAGCACACTTTGAAAAACTTTTGTGACAACCAGTCAGCCTGCCAGTAAGTTTTGAGTAGTACAGGTCTGACACTGCATTTTCCACGCATTATCGGTGATGACAATTATTTTAGCCACAGGGTCCTACTTTTAAACAACCGCTTGGCCGTGCGTCTTCTTGTACGATCGGGGATCAGGCGTATTCAGAAAGATAATTGATTATATACCACTCTCCTGCTCTCCGTGATTTAGGCCCGTTTCAAACGTCGTGCTACTGCCGTGCCGAACTCAATTGATCGAATTAAATTCGACTTTAGCACGGCAGTAGCGCGACGTTTGAAACCAAGTCGTGCTACTGCCGTGTAGCACGGCAAGCCTTGCCGTGCTACACGGCAGTAGCTCGACTTGGTTTCAAACGTCCTGCTACCGCCGTGCCGAACTCAATTCATAAATTATAAATACATTAGAATATATTTAAAAGTTTGTTAAACCGTTTTTTTATTTTTGTGTTTTGTTTTTGGCAACAGCCGTTCCATTCGACTGTCATATTGTGTGAATTAAATTCGACGTCTGAAACCAAGTCGTGCTAGTGTCGTGCTGCAGTCGATCTACAGTCGAGCCAGCTTAGCACGGCAGTAGCACGACGTTTGAAACAGACCTTACTAACCCACCATCTTTTCCTACAAATAGACCATTTTACAGTTGTGGGCTTTAATTTGTACCCTAGACTCGAATGAGTGTGAAGCTAAGGGTACATGCCAACCTCCTTTGTTTTCCTATGTAAATTATGTTTGAAAAATTATTATACTAGTTAGCATGAGAAAACAATGCAAGATTTAGATAAAGAAGCAGAAATCTTATGGTTATATCAAAACAAGGTCCATTCCAGCCTCGTTTCGATCCATAACTGTAAAATGGTCTATTGAACTCGACTGAGCTACAATGGATCTCTAATTGTTTGTGTTTTGATTTTTGTCTCTTCATGATCAGGGTCTGCTGGTTATCAATATTCGACAAATACCTTCTTATACTCACTGAAAAACTACTACGGTTATGGATATTTCAAAAAGGACATAGACTACAACTATCAATACGCCACGTACAGCAACTATGACTGTTTTCCAACTTTTGGGAGCCATGATATCTACATTGCAGACAATGCAGGATACAATACTAATTCTTGGTTTAATAATTGTAAGCAGTACCGAAAGCCATATTGTGACTATAAAATCTGGGTTGGAACACAATACGGGAATAATTTCCGCCCGGATGAGTTGGAGGTTTATTATGAAGTGCTTGCTTAAAACCGTGAAAAAACAGAAAACAAGAAAGCGAACCAAAAAACAACAACAACGGTAACAACAACAAACCAGCGAAAAATAAATAAACAATAGCAGTAAATAAATAAATAAATAAATAAATAAATAAATGAGCTCTTCGCATTTGACTATACCTTATTCAGAGAGAAAGCTATACCATCTCTTTCTTGATATTTTCTAAGTAACGCAACTCTTGTGACAAAAAAGGTGATTGATTAGCAACTAACGTGTGCAAATTCGTTATATTTGGAGTTTTCGCATTATCAATAGCAGAAGTTTCAGCAAAATATAAGGTGTTAAAGCACCAACAGCGGTTAGCCATAGCACTACTAGTTTTTTTAGTTTTTTACGATGGATCAGAAAGGCTTTTTTTGTTGGTAGCGTAGTTCCATGGTAGAAATTTGTTAAGCGTTTTCACTTGTTAGGCGGAATTATCCCCATAGGTGTTCTTATGAATCTCGAAGGCCACCTGTATAGCAGTAGCGAGTAGAGCCTTGTCAATATATTGGCGTTCTTTTATTTTATGACTCTCGTTGGAAACCCATTTAACTACTCCTGGGTTTAACAAATAACGGACAAGTTAACTGAAATTTTAACTAATTTAGTAGCTCGACTAAAAATTCAAATACCAATTCGTGTGGGTATTGTTTTCTGTTGTATGCCGTTTGATGCCACCCTCGTCCTTCACATAAATAATAATGCCAAAGGATGTTTGCCCCGATCTCATCTTCAACTTCCCTTAGCAGTTTTCAAGCGGATTCAAACTGTTAAATTATTGGTTGGTCGCCCTCAAACCCCAACGCGTCTGAAACACTTTGTTTTGAACTGATCAAAATAACGGAGAAACAATATCCGGGTCAATGGAAATCTCTTCCGAAACGGCCAAACTAAGGTAGGCAAAGGTAAATAGTTCGTTTTTCTTTTATTAAAATAGTATCAGTAACCTATAAACTAAAGCTCATAGATAACAATAAAGATTTTGGGTTCCCAGTGTAAAATATCCTTATTTTCTTTAACAGAGCATACTCTCTCTAATTATATGATTCATTTTGTTTGCAAGCTTGGTCTCTTTATCCTTCTACGAGTGAAGCTATTCAGTAATACCGTTTTTTGTTTTTACTTTTTTAAGTATAACCAATGATGTAATGGGTAATGTCATTTATCCTCAATTTAAATGCCTATCAACTAAATTGAATAGTTGTCTTAGCGGAGTGAAAGGGCCTTCATTGGCATGGAAAGGCAGGATGCAAATCCAAGTGGCAATCTAACGCACTGGATTGAAGTCGTTTCCTGAAGCACTTGTGGTTTTCAATTGTTTTCATGCACTGAACAATATGGTGCGCGTGTTAATTGGCTAATAAGTACTTATCAGTTATTACTAAAACTGGCAATAACCAAGGGCAATGGAATACGGGCGAGGAGCTATCAGGTCTAAGGTCAAAACGCTCTTACATTTTAAGTAGATACATAATGTTGTCATGATATAAACACTTAAATTGCAAAGGAATTCTTTTTGGTAAAGCGGTGTTGTCTTTTCAGTGCTTTTGCCTTTATCTATCTTGTTCCTAGCACTCTAGAATAGAACCTGCGTGAGATTTCTGTCAAACATTGCGTGTTTTTAAGTTGTTTAGCTATAATACGTCACAGCCATGTTATTATTTCGTTTCCGGATAACCACCGGATATCTGTTTACATTGTATGCCATTTCTGGAAGAAGCTCATCGATTTGAAGCAAGAAGATCACCGGTCAGCCACTAGACTACGAGCAATCTCCCCATTTACACCAGCAAGCGACGAAAGAGAGAACCAGGAGGGCTAAAAGGCAGATCACGATAGCCAGGGAAGCCACGTGGGTAAAGACGAAGGAGATAGCGAAATAAAGAGGAAGAAGAAACCCCTGAGCTAACGAAAGCCCGTGAAAGACAGCGAACTCGGATGGGTCAGAAAAGCCACAAGGAACATGAAGACCAAGAGAGGTAATCTCAAAATCTCGCGATGGATACAGTATAA